ATGATCTCTAAAATTTAGGTTTTCATCTAGGTTTACACCCAGGATCTTGATGGATTGTGACTGTTGCACTTTTTCACCACCTATATCCAGATCAATGTTCCTTTCTCCTTTTGGATTTCCCAGAAACATAGCCAGATATTTATCGCAATTAACTTTTAAAAGATTATCTTGATACCATTTGGTCATCCTCTCACCATTGTTCACTTATAATTTTGATGATGAATACTTTCCGGTAATTCTTGATCTTCTGACCGGGTTGCCCATCATGTTAAGAACATGCTGAGAAAAAACAAGGCAAACTGTATTAAATGCACTGAAAATGGGATCAAACACTTCCTATCTAGAGATGCTAGTACCATAAACTTACGAGGTTTTCCATGGATTCAAAGACTTTCACGACATCAGGGTCATCAATCCGGTTGTAGGAAACATCGAGAACTCTGTAAAAGCAAGGAAAAACAATTATAGTCACACGTACCACGATGATATAAAATACGTGTTATACTAAGCATTTTAAACATAACCTTGAATGGCTGGTTAAGAAAATGAAATGTACAAGAAGAGAAAATGAATGGATCGATACATGTTATATCAATTCATATGACTGAAGCCTGAATGTGTACATGAACCTTCCAGTCACAGGAAGCCATTCACAAGATAGATGGAGCAGACGGACAGTAAAAGCCAGATAGACACTCAGATATACTTAACAGGATTGATCAAGACTCACTGACCCAGACACTTATTAACTCAGGCAAAGTTAAACAAACTTGTACAAAGGAACTCAGACAGGGATCAACATGGAGGCACGCCCCTAAACAGGATAGACTTGGATACAATCAAACCCATAGGGAATGGAGCGGTGATGGCATAATACAGGTTGACCACTTAATAAAGGTTCTAAAGAATAAGGGCATCATAAAAAATGATTAAAAAAAACCATTGTATGCCATAATTGACCAACTCAAGTACAAAAACTTGCTCAAAACTACTAAGCACTAACATTGATTTCGGGAGATAAACATGGATTACATTTTTATTAGAAAGACTGTTCTTAGTTCAATTTTGAGTGGTTCTGCTTTAGGAGTCCTAATCATGGACTTAACTTCCAGGAAAACAGAATTTAGAATGCAAGTATGTGTATCAAAGAATTGCATTAGTTTCATGTTCTGACTTGCAAAAATGAAGGAAAAGTTTTTCATAATTGTAGAATCTTTTCTATTGTCAATCTGTGTGCAGCCTTCTACTGCATCCATTAATTAATAAGTAAAAACAAAATTTTGAAACCTTTTAACACTTAGTGGTCATATAATAATACGCTTTTCAAGGAAAAGCTGAACAGGAAAATATTAGGCTCTCAGTCAACTGATGCACAGAACTAGCTACAATTTTCCACACATCATTAACTCAAGCTCAATATTTTGCCATCCCATCCTTCAACTTACTCATTATGAGCGAATGTTACCAACGGTCAAACATTTGGTGCCAACAGCCAAAAAATCGATTCGGCTCATATTCTCAAGTTGGGTAGGCCTTATAGTGAAACAAAGCACTGCATACTTCGTTTGGCTGAATATCGATTTATTTTGGAGATAATCGATAACAACTAGATTTCGCCAAAATGCCGCTTTTGAAGCTCAAAATTTCAGACGAATCTTGGAGTGTCGCGCCACGAATTGACAACACTTGGACCGATAAAAAGTACCAAATCTTGAAAAGCAATATCAATACATGTNATCGTTAATCGCTGATACCACACTGAGTATCTATAAACACTTGGGGCTTTGTGTGAGAAGGAACCGGTCGAGATGACAATTGCCTTGAATAGAGGTCAGGATTTTAAATGATGTATAAGTATTTTTTAAGACGCTGAAAGATTGAATCGTATTTGTTTTCTCTTCCTTACTATTTTAATCGCTATAGATTGTTTGATTAATCACAGAAATTACCTTGAAACTGGCATAAAACGAATTGCAGAGAAAAGATGTGAACTCTGCAACAACAGTGCGTGTCGTTCTTCTTATAAGGATATCTGCTGCTCCTTCAAAGCTACAGTAAGAGTGCACTGTGACTTCGACAAACGATCCAGAAAACGGGAAACAGTAATTATACCTCTTCTTGCTTGTTTAAGGTGGATTGAGAGCCACTCCACTTGTCTCGGTTTTCCGGGCCAAAACACGAAGTTGACCTAATTCTTAGCCTAGCAACCATATTCTCTCCTCCTGTTAACATACATACCGTGACAATTTGTCCCTCGCCTAGTGCAAAGCTTGGTTTGGGGTAGACGAGAGGCTCTAAGTTCGAGGTGCCGAGTTCCTTTTGATATGTGAAACCATGCTCAATGATATATCGCCATATAAAGCATTGATTGGCTTTGGACTTCGATAAGAAGTAGTCATTCACTTCTTAAATTTATCATCTTGGAAGGAAATATTAAGGAGATAGGCAAAACATAGGTTTGTTTATTTTCTCTTTTCTAGTTAAATCTAGATGTCAGTCTTTCCCTAATGGGTGTGAACATTATGGTCTGACCAGACAACAGGCTTATGTTAAATTTGTCATTACGCATCAGCTACGCTCTATGATATTTCGCCATATAATGCATTGATGGCTTTGGACCAGACCATATTTGAGGGGGATGGATCACTGCTTACTTGGCTACCTTCTTAGGAAAGAATACTAAACAACTAACTAGTTGAGTTAGTTTTTCAAAGCCACTGTTTCCAAAATGCAAGTACCGTATTTGACTGACGTAGGTATACCGACTCGCACTCGAGTCTGCTGTATCAGCTGGTGCAATGATTACTCGAAGCGTTTCTTGAGTTCTGAGATACGCAGAAATGGTTTCATTTCCAGGCGTGAGTTTTTTCTGGACCACTGCCAGGAGAAGATGAGTGTGAATAATGTGAACGTGTGCAACCTGGGTCGTAGTCTTACTACCGGCACGAGTAACTTAACCGAGGCACAGTAGCCTCTGGGGAAGAAACAGTACAGATATAAAGCTGTTGAACGTTGGCTAGTACAAAGATTTCAGCGAAAGTCGTGGTTTTCCAGGTTTGACCCTTATAAAACTTCTTTTAAGTAAACAAATATTCAAACACTACACTTATCTCTGTTGCACATCTGCAGTGATGCATGATGGGCTATGCCCTTTGCAGATCTTTCGCTCTTTTTTGTCCTAAAATAGGCTTCATCCATCCAAGTACCATGAAACATTAAATTATGATACATTGGATCATGATTGGAGTTAGATAATTGTTTTCTCCTGTTTAGTATATGTAACTGGACTTCTTATTTGGACCACTTATTTGGACCACTTATTTGGAACCAATTTCGAATGGTTAAAAATCAAGTGAACTGGGAAGTTAATAGCGCGAAAAAAGCCTATTATGA